CATCCATCAGTCTGACATCAAAGCCACCTTACTGACTTACACAGAAAAATCAGCCACTGTAATGGCTGGCTCAGTCGGAATAGTGGCTGAGCATAAGCTCTTCCACTGGCTCACCGAATTTACAGTGAATGAGGCGAACATGATAGAAAAATGGGACGAATGAAAAAACAAGCACAACTTCATTGGTGTCAAGCGTGTAGTATCAGTTATAACCGAAGGTCGGTTATTTCGGTTTCAGTTTAACCGAACCGATGCACGCCTAGTGTAGTGAAGTGAGGGTGAGACTTAGAACAGTTAGGGCTCTTCACCTTTTTTTACTTAACTGTTGCTGCGTTTTAGATATCTTCAGGGCAGAGAAGTGAAGAACAAATCTTCGTCTGTCTCTATTTGGTTCTTGGATTCGAAAGATGCTCGACTAAACTTACGCTCGCTTTTGCAGTTCTTTCTCACTGTATGTAAGCTGTTTATTTCTTCTCTTTCAGATTTCATAGTATTAATAATCGTTTGTACACTCGGCGTTCTTGATTTTGTTAAATTTGGTTTTTGGTGATCTGTGCGTTTGCCTTGTAATACGTCGAATTACCATAATGTGAATACAATCTTCTTTTTTCGAGCGATGTTTAAACCATTCACACGAACAATGAAAATTTTGATAACTACTAATGTCAACTGTACAGAGAGGGAGACTGTTTATTCAGGAAAAGTGAGAGTCATCAAAGGTCACCGACCTGTAATAACAATGACTCAAGCCAAACAACACAAAAAGAGTATTAAAAAAGAACAAAATAAACAAGACAACTAAGGTTAGAACCAGAAGTAGTAAAATTTTTGAAAAAAATAAAAAAATAAAATAAGCGAAAAAGAACAATTATAAATTCTTAGCTGACAAACGTTTCACTGAAAGCGATGCTGTATTAAAGCTGTTTTGAACGACGTTAAAGAAGAAAGACGAATAACTGACTCTGAGAGATTATTTCAGTGAGCAATAGTTGAATAAAAAAAAGAAGAATGCACCGTTTGCGGAGAAAAACCATCAACAAAAGATGGAATGCGAATATATTTAGAGTGATGAAGACGTAAAGATGGGTAGTGAGGACGATGAATAGTATAAAAAAGAGAAATAGGACTTAGACAATGATAAATTTTGAAAAACTGTAGAAGTCTAAAGTATTTACGACGAAGAGAGAGATTTGCAAGAGAAAGTTGAGACACAAGTAGAGGACTAGAAGAGCGATAGTCAAAATTGCGAGAAATAACACGAGAAGCAAGTTTGTTTACAGAATCAAGAACAATAAGAGAAAACGAACTGTCATACAAGGCACAGCAACAGGCAATTTTAGGAAGAATAGAAGAAAGATAGATTCGACGCCGAACTTCAGTTGGAGCTAATCCAAAGACACGATTCAATGCTCCAAGCTGGCGCCGATAAGCAAGAGCAATGTCCTTGGCATGATCATTCCACCTTTTGTTTATACAGTTTTGAATATGAGGAAAATCAGAAGGATCAGTAGAGGAAAGAGGGACAATCAAAAAAACATCATCAGCAAAGAGACAGACTTCACAATTAGGTGGAAGCGACAGAGGTAGATCGTTAATAAAAATAAGAAATAAAAGAAGCCCAAGCACACTGCTTTGAGGAACACTAGAAGGAACAGGAGAAGAATAAGAGACATAATCATTCACACGCACACACTGAGAACGATTCGAAAGATAAGAAGATAGTAGAGACAACAAAGAATCACACACACCACAACGGAATAGTTTTTCTAACAAGAGAGAATGAGGAACAGAGTCAAATACTTTAGAAAAATCAAAAGATACACCAACACACTTTACACCAGCATTCCAAAAGTTAAAGACGGTTGAAGATAAAAATAACAAAGCATCCAGAGTAGAATGTTTAGGACGAAAACCGAGCTGTTTGTTTACAAAAAAAGAGTGTTTAAAAAGATGAGAAAAAATAAAATTATAAATTAGACGTTCACACACTTTAGAAACAACAGGAAGAAGTGAAATAGGGCGATAGTTAGAAATATCAGCAAGAGCGCCTTTTTTATGAACAAGTACAATGAATGCAGTTTTCTATAAAGTTGAAAAATTGCTAGTGGAAAGACACAGATGAGAAATGAAGTGAAGGTGAGGCGAGAGAATGTCAGGTAGAACCATTCTGATGTTGTACGGACCAGACATCTAAAAAGGAGAAAAAGAGAAGGCAGCTAATATAAGGAGATCAGAATACATACCCGTTTCACATTGAAAATGACTATCAAATTTGACTATGAGGATAGAATAAATCTGACAGTGCCACTGTTGGTAAAAGTTTATTGCTATCACCTTTTCCTATCTGTACATCAGACTGACATTTTTTTATTTTTTTGAAAATTTGTTGCGAATTATAGAATCTTAATGCTTGTAATACATGTTGTTGATCGCTAGGTTGTAGTTGAGAATATTTTGAATTTAACTTTAGTTTAAAATCATCTATAAAAACCATAAAAAAATTGACAAAGAAGGCAGAAAAATCTACGAAAACTATGCTTACCCAAATGACAATAACCATGAATTGATTAATTAACAAAGAAACCCTGAAGTTTGTTTATCATTAATAACAATTTGTCCACCGATACAATTTTCCATTCAACCATTTCTTTCCATAATCGATTCATTCCTTCTATTATATTACTTATGATTAGTTTCGGGAGAGAGATATGCCGTAAGATGCAATTCATCTATTCGCCATATTCCTAAAATACACAAAAGAAAAAATTAATTTCTTATTCTTTTTTCGTTTTTATCGTTGAACCTGCTTAGAAGACTCGACTCCGGTAATAACGAAAAACGAGGAAGAATGCTCGCTCTATTTTCATTTTCCATTACTGGAGTTCGCTTCATGGAGTCGCTTCCGATAGTGCTAAAAAAGCTGCAAAAACTCTTCTTTTTATTACATCCCTTTGGGGACTTTACTCCGCTTATAAGTCAATAAAAGACGAAAGACCGCTGCTCTTTTTTGATCTTATATGATGGAACCTTTACGGGACTCGAGTCCGATACTACAGGAAAAAAAAGGAAAGCAGTGTTTATTGTTTATACTTTTCAATTTTCAGCAACTGAATTGGTCGAATGTATTCATTAGTCATTAAAAAATATGTATTACCAAATATTGATCAAATAAGTATGTGCAGAAAGATTACTCGTCTGCACTGCCTATCGTAGACAAGTTCTCTCTGTTTCCGGCTTTGACTCCGAGAAGCAGGTCCGAAAATAGAAAAGTATAAACGAATACTGTGCTTTCCTTTTTTTTTCTACAGTACTGGAGTCGATTCCCCTAAGCAGGTCCAACGATAAAAATGAGAAAAGTGGAGTAAGAAGTTTATTTTTCCTTTGTGTATTTGGAACGTGGCGAGTCCGACAATAAAAATCAATTTGAAGATTAATTGGCTAAAATATGAGTTTTCATTATAAGGCAATTTTTTGATTGAAAATATTTGTTTTCCTTTCTATTTTCTCCAGATGAACTCATTTTTGTATGTTTCTGTGCTAATGCGTATTTTTACCTTTTAACTTCACTATTATTTCATTTTATACATTTATTTTCTATTTTTAATAAAGATCTTTTAAATTAAAGTGTATTCAAATTATTTGTTTTGACCATGATGCCTCAGAAAATCAGTTCAGTTTTCCGTAAGAAAAGGCACAACTGTGATCGTAAGTACAATATTTTATCGATCGGAAAAAGATGTATATTATCATTAGTTTTACCTCAAAATTTTGATTTTCTCAGATATTTACGGTCACAAAACGTTAAAGTACTTAATTAATCCGGACAAGACCGAGACTAATAATAGAAGGTAGGTATTTTACTTTTTTTGCTATACGGCACATTTGTCTTGATGCTGGAATATGTTCAAAATTTTACTTTTGTATTTCGGAAATTCTTTCTATATCTTAAGCCATTTTTACAGAAGTATTTGGAGGACAAAAAATATGCTTAGGACTGTTGATAAACGTTTTTGCTATGGTATACGGACAAACTTCTATTTGATGATGCAATCAAAAGGATGATGACGATACATGTGATTATCAATGACTAAGCAAAAAATTCACATAACACTTTCCAATAGCAAATTATCGATTTCTTTGCAAAAGTAACTCTGCCACGGTCATGTTAGTCACGTCATGTACTTTTTAAAAGAAGATTTTTCTCTAAAATAACGTTTCTCTATTTATTCATGCATTAGAGTTTTGTTTGTTTGTTTTAGATGGCTTTACAATTTTTAGCTAAACGTTTAGTATTACGTCCCAATTACTTATCGCGTTTATGTCGTAATTATTCAGCGCTCACCTTTGATTATCCACAGCATCAGTTTTGCAAGTCTTGTTTGTCCCACCATGCTTATCAACAACAAATACTTTTATCAAAGAAATCACCGTTTGATTTAAAAAGATCTCTGTCAATCTACGCTTCATCAGCTCCACCAGAAAATACATCAAATGAAGGCGGAGGTCCATCTCCTTTATCTTCGAGAGATGATGGTGGAGGTGGAGGTGGAGGTGGAACAGCGGATGGCAGAGGTTCTGGTTCGAATGATAACCATAATGATGATAGTGGATCTAGCAATAGTGGACAAGTTGTACCTGTCGTTCTTCAAAGCGGAAATCCTTTAATGCCCATTGAAATACCAGAGAATTATCCCATTGTACCATTGATACCTGTCACACGACATCCACTATTTCCAAAATTCATCAAAATGTTAGAAATATCGAATAAAGAATTAATGGATATTATTAGAAGAAAAGTAAAATTGAATCAACCATACGCCGGATTATTTCTCAGAAAAGACAGGTAAAAATGAGAGTTTATTTTCTTAAATTTCTCAACTTCAAGAAAAAGAAAGAGTTCATCTATAATTAAATTAACATAAAGATTACGTGAAAATTTAGCATAATGTTAAATTTTATCTCTTTTAGTGCCACATCAGCCACAACTTCGCCTCCCACTACTCCAAAATCCCCGTTGACTCCAGATACAGCAACAACAGGCTCAGCTAAAACAATGCCAACAGCAACATCTTCAGATTCGACAATTCATAGTCTGGATGAAGTGTATAATGTTGGTACATTTGTTCAAATTCATGAAGTTCACGATATGGGAGATCGACTAAGAATGATTGTTATGGCACATAGAAGAATTAAAATTATTGGACTAGCATCAGATGAACCCGCTGAAAGTGAGGGTGAGGATCTGACACAATACTCTTTCACACAAAATTTTTTGAGATTTATAACGTCCTAACGTAGGGATTTAATGATCAATCAGCTCTTCTACAATCAGAGCAAAATCTGTTCTAACTCTTAAAAATAACGTTCGTTTTTTTTCCCACATTCCATTTTAGATGCTGAACGTAGACGATTAGGATCAAAAGTTAATGGCGCAAGAAGAAGAAATCGCCGTCAAACAACTAAAGAAGGTGATAATAATTTATTGTCATACAGTTAACAGTAGTGTTTTAAATTTTTTTGAGTTCGTTCTAGACATTTTTCCATTTTTTTTTCTTTTGAAGAATCATCCGAACATGTTGAAGAACAACAACACACTGTACAAGATCAAGTATCCACTGGAGATGCCGATACAGTTGTTGTGAATAAAATTACGATGGTCAATACAGAAAATGTTACACATGATGAATATGAACAAACACCAGAACTGAAAGTATGTAGTTTCTGCTGTCGAAGGTTAACTACTTAGCTATTTATTTGTTTACAGGCAATAACATCTGAGCTAGTTAAAACCATTCGTGATATTGTCGCATTAAACCCATTTTATAGGTAAAAAAATAGAATACATAATAATATTTGTACGAGCGTCGTTTGACAAGTAGTTAACTTTCACGCGACAATGCTTGAATGAAAAAAATGGTTTATCCTCTCTTAAAAGAAACGGAAATGCTGTTTTAAATCCATCAGCTTTGACATCTAGCACATATAAAAACAAACTTTTTTAACAGTAATTTTTTTTCTTTACTTTACATTAGGGAGTCCATCGCAGCACTAATTCATAGTGGTCAACGAGCAGATCATCCTGTTTATCTAAGTGATCTTGGTAAGTAAGGATATACTTACAAATTTTTGTTTTTAATTATGTTCTTTTTATGTTTAGGTGCTGCATTAACAAGTGCCGAGGGTGCTGAACAACAAGCTGTATTAGAGGAAACAAATGTGTGTAATTTTTAGATAGTGTATAATAATTTCAAATTTTGAAATTCTTTTCACTTTTTTTTAGATTCCAAATCGTCTGATGTTAGCATTGAATTTATTAAAAAAAGAATTGGAAATGAGTCGATTACAACAAAAAATTGGCAAGGAGGTAGACAGATGAAAACTAGACAATGAATCGTCTTGGTTTTAGCATGAATAGTGATTTATTTTGTAGGTTGAAGAAAAAGTGAATAAACAACATCGAAAATATATGTTACTTGAACAAATGAAAGCAATTAAAAAAGAACTAGGTTTGGAAAAAGATGATAAAGAAGCAATGACAGAAAAATTTAAAACAAGACTAAAGGTATGTACAGTGGTACAATAGTTAGATATTTGACTATGATTAGTGATTATTTTGCGTTTCTTTTTCATAGGAATTGACAGTGCCACCAGCAATACAAACCGTTCTTGACGAAGAATTCGATCGTCTCGGAGTTTTGGAAAAGCATTCAGCAGAATTCAAGTATGGCTAATTTGTATTTGCATCCAGTATTTAATTCAATAATTATTTTCTAGTATTTGTACAAATTATCTTGATTGGTTAACCAATTTACCTTGGGGTAAATTAAGTGAGGAAAAATTAGATTTAGAACATGCACAAAAAGTATTAGACGAAGATCATCATGGAATGGAAGATATTAAAAAAAGAATACTGGTAATAGAGAATTAGCCACCTTTTATTTCTGAGAAGAAGAATGAAATATTAAGATAAGTTCTGTAATGAACACTAATAATATCAACAATACAATGAGAATTAGAAGAGGAATAGGTTAATCTGCGCTAGATTTAATTGAAATCCAAATTATACTCGTCATCTTGATAGAAACTGATTTATCTAGTTATATTTTAGGAATTTATTGCTGTTAGTCATTTGAAAAAGTCAACACATGGGAAAATACTTTGTTTTCATGGACCACCTGGTGTTGGAAAAGTAAGTACATCACTAAATTTTCTACAAAGCAATAGATTATTCAAAACTTACTTTCTTTAGACTAGTGTTGCCAAATCAATAGCACGTGCACTTAATCGAGAAGTATAATTTTTTTTATCACCATTATTTTTCATTCTATTAAGCAATTGACAATTGATTTTTGTGTTTAGTATTTTCGATTTAGCGTTGGGGGTATGCATGATACAGCTGAAATAAAAGGCCATCGTCGTACATATGTTGGCGCTATGCCAGGAAAAATGATTCAATGTTTGAAAAAAACCAAAGTTGAAAATCCATTGGTATTGATTGATGAAATTGATAAAATTGGACGTGGTGGATTTCATGGTGATCCAAGTGCAGCACTGTTAGAAATGCTCGATCCAGAACAAAATTCAAATTTTCTTGATCATTACCTTGATGTTCCTATTGATCTATCAAAAGTAAGAGAAAAAGTATTTATTTAAAGAAATGATCAATTTTTATGATAATCTGTTTTTCTTCTAAGGTTTTGTTTATTTGTACAGCAAATGTACTCGATACAATTCCCGATCCGTTAAGAGATCGTATGGAAATCATTGAAGTATCAGGTTATGTTGCCGAAGAAAAATTAGCTATAGCTAAAGTGAGTTCATTTTTCAAGAATTAAGTTTTTCAAATTAGTTCTCTTGTTTTCATTTTAGAATTATTTAATACCACAAGTAACAACTCAGACTGGTGTCACTAAAGATAAAATAGAGATTTCAGATGGCGCTTTAATTCGTCTAATTAAAGCTTATTGCCGTGAAAGTGGTGTAAGAAATCTTCAAAAGCATATTGAAAAAGTAAGGTACATGTTTTTTTCTTTTCTATTTTAAAGTTGAGTTCACTCTTGTTGTTTTTAGATCTTTCGTAAAGTAGCCTTTAAAATTGTGAAAGAATCACAAACAACTTTAACCGTAGACGAAGGAAATCTTCAAGACTATGTAGGAAAACCAATGTATACCAGTGATCGCATGTATGAATTAACACCGCCCGGAGTATCGATGGGTCTAGCATGGACAGCACACGGTAAACGTCATTTTTGTTTTTCAAACACGAAAGATTTATAACTGGTTTTTTTGTTTATCTCTAGGTGGATCGGTGTTATTTATTGAATCGAGACTCATTAATTCAGTTGATGCATTTGATACATCATCGTCGGCGCCCCCTAAAGATGATAAAGGTGGAATAGGTGGTAGTTTAACATTAACAGGTCATTTAGGTGATGTGATGAAAGAAAGTTGTAGAATAGCGTTGACATATGCCAAATCATTTATGCAAGAAATTGATCCACAGAATAAAGCATTAAGAATTGGACACATACATATCCATGTCCCAGAAGTAAGCACTTTTCTTCTTAAGAGAATAACATGTACATACATATTCCATTAATTTCGATCTGTGTTTCGAGTTTTACACACATACCGTGTTTGACAGACTCAAAAAAGTAGCAGCATCTTTTGTCTATTTTATAAAACTCAAAAAGTAACGTTAGAGTTAGTGATAGTTAAATTACTCAATTTTGTTATGTATCGTTTTTAAGGGTGCTACACCAAAAGATGGACCTTCAGCTGGTTGTACTATCGTTACGGCACTCATGTCGTTAGGTTTGAATAAACCAATGAAACAAAATGTGGCTATGACCGGAGAGGTGTCATTAACTGGAAGAATACTGCCCGTCGGCGGCATCAAAGAAAAAGTGATAGCAGTAAGTAATTGTAGGGGCACAGTGGACAATTTTGGCTTATCATCCGGACGTGAAATCTATTTCTGGAGTAAACACTTTTTGTCTTGTTACTCTTGGGTCCACCGAACAGTCCAAAAGCGAAAAAAGTCATTTTCAAAAAAACCTTTTTTTAAAATTCACCTTATGGCTGAAGCTTTCGAAAGAAAATTTTTCTCCGCAAAGTCATAGTATCATACACGATTCCAAATATGTCATTGGTGTTGATTAAAACACGATCAAGAAAAATGGATTTTACGTAAAAAAACGTTAGTTTTTTCAAAATCTATTGTGAAGTCCAGAGAAAGAGGTGCATAAAGTTCCCTTGACTACAAGTCTACACTTCGGAGAGTATAATAAATTTTCGGTCTTAATAGAACACTGGGAAAAGGTAAGAAGTGCATTTCACTGTAGAGCTGATTTTCCGATGGTTTGTTAGCAGTGAAAATATTGACTATCCCCAGCATTTGAAGGCTAAACATCATGAAGTTTTTTAAAAAAACTCGTAGTAAACCCACGATTCGTCCACGAAATTTTCTTTAGGTCGACAAAATTTTTGATTTTGGAGAAAATACAGTGATTTTTGACCTTTTTTTTTACACCTGAGTTTTCCTTACACTTTAAAACAACAAAAAATTTTATTACGAAAAGATAGCAGGTAATCCGAAGATTATCACTCTCTATCTAAAAGCAAAAAATAATTACTTTCATTTTTCCGCTAAATGTATGCATCATTGTCCACTGTGAGAGAATGAGTTATTCAGGCGAAATATGTTTCCTTTTCTTCCATTTTAGGCCAAACGTGCCAATGTTATGACTGTTATATTACCATTTGAGAATCAAAAAGATTGGAATGATTTACAAGATTTTATAAAAGATGGTCTTACTGTATATTTTGCTAAAACATACGATGATGTTTATAAAATTGTTTTTGAGCAGTAATTTTGTCTACTTTTCTTGTTGATAAAAAACATTTTTCCATTAATTCTGCTAATTTATTTTTAGCTTTGCTCTGGTGCATGAGTTTAAGTGTAATGTTTGTTTCATATACGTTTTTTTCTACACAAGCGTAATGTGCATTTCTTTGATTTTTGTTCGATTTTCATGTTATTTTCGTTTCTTTATATACTTTTTATGAAATAAAAACTTAGGATATGTTTCTGTTAAAAGTAATTTTTGTACACATTGCTTGATTGAAATATAGGAAATAAAAAACTATATTACCAGCTTGGAAATTCGCTTGCATTTTCTAGGACATATTGCGCTACTATACAATAAAATGACTTAAGATACACCGGATATGTTATAAAACATCTTTTTGAAATCCTGTTCCTGGTATCCGGCTGTTAAGGATTAGAATCTTGAATTTACTCATTGTTAACATATATATATATATATGTTGTATAACATATGTTGTAAATAAAAAATTGTTTGACAGAAAAATTTGTTCTCTAGACTTTGCTCTTTCAAACAAAAAAACTTCATAGTGATCCGACGCTTATTATTTACGATTATGTTATGCATAAAGTAAATCGATTAACAAGTCTTTTAAAATTACAGACGCGCGCAATAAAATTCTGCTAGAAAAACACCTTCGTTTCTTAAAAACGTATTGCTTATCAGCCAAAACTCTCTTACATTTTCTTATGTCTGGTGGAGTCGCGAGAGGCAGCTGCTGCTAAGGGCTCGTTGTCGGCTGAATATGGTTTATGAATCGATGATATTTCGTGCATTACGTGAATATAATGAGTTGCCTTTAGAAACTAGGTTGACCCAGTCTGTTGGAAGATTCAGATCTCGTCTGCTGCCTAAACCCGAGTTTCTGAGAATACCGCGAATATTAACTCGTGATGTTGATATTACTTATTGTCGTCATGGAGTCGGTTCTTCACAGTTGAGAAAAGATCTGTACGATAAGGACAGGGTCGACAACCCATTCTGTTCTTGTGACAATATCACCCCTGAGACAGCAAATCATTTCTTTTTTAATTGTGTTTTTTATATGAATGAACGAAGCCTACTTCTATCTAATTTAAACAACAAAGTTTCTAATTTAAAAATCGAGATTAAAACATTGATATTACCACGTCAATTGACACCTGACAAAATAGTAATAATCGTTAAAGAGGTTAGTGATTATATACATAACACCAGAAGATTTTCAGTTATGTTGACCTGATTTAAAAATTAAATTAAATCTTTCTTTTTTTGACAAATACACATACTTTGGTTCTCTGGCACACACAGACCGTCTGGTATAGCATTAAATTTATCATTTGTGCTCTTTCAACAACGTTTCATTTGTACATGTTTTCTCTACTTCTCTACATATTTACTTACTAGTTGTTTGTTCTTTTCCCGTTGTCCGCTTTCCCTTCGTTCGTTACTCTACCATGAATCATCCTTATTTCTATGTCATTCATGTTGTTTATCTTTAGTTGTACAAACATGGATCATAAAGAGCTGCTAGTACGTTATACTTTAAATGGTACCTCATTTCATTTACTGTTATCTATTTTCTCTTCTTTTTACATTGTCAGTTACATCATCACCATTAATAAACAGTTTAGATCAAAGTGAATGTATCTTATTTCATGAAAGAAAAATGTATTGACTTTTATCGAATCGTTTCAGAGTTCGCATATGAAAGTCTTGGATTATTTTATATATCCAATTAGAGAAAGTCTCGGAAATCTAACAGTACAAAACGTTTCAAATTGGTCCAAAAATGACTAAATTATGAGCGAAAAATCGAACAAGATTCGTTTACAGTTAGAGATATTAGTATGTTTTGTTCTTTTCCGTTGTCTCGTGCATTTATACTCAAAGCGTATATTCTTCTTCACAACACCATATAACGAAATGAGAGAAAAGAAAACACAAAAGAAAACAAAAATCGCTCTAGCAACTTGTTTAGTCTATACAGAATATTTTTTGTTCCTAAGAATGCTATTGATGTTTCTAGAATAACAATAATTGTTTCTGAGAAAAATAGTGATTTTTTTCTTTTTTCTTTTCACGTATTTCGTTCTATACATCATCAACGGTGTTCGTGATATAACACTATCAACACCAATCATTTAAAATGAAATATTAGCAATACAATCTATCAACACCAAATAACGAAATACGAGAGAAAAGGAAAAAGGGAAAAAAAGTTCTAATAGAACCCTAAAAATTCTACAACCACTTATTTTCATAAATCTTCAGCACACTATTAAGTATAATTTTTAAACAAGTAATTTCATAATATACGTACTTTCTTAGCCTTTTGTCAATGATATTCACATCCTATATTTCAATTGGCTATTCGTTAGAAAATTTATTTTATTTTTAAAATAAAATTGACTGCACAGATTGAAAACTCGTCTCGATATAAAGTATTGTGTCAGCACGACGCTTGCGAGAAAGAATCAGTCATGAATTGTGGTCCGTCTACTGGTGGCTATTTGAAACCGTTATGTAATGTTCATTTACAATCTCACAGCATTATCAAAAATAGTTTATCGATAGCAATACGTGAAGAACAAGCGACAATCAATTCAACAGACCAAGGAGAAAGCCAGATAAAATTCGATAATATCCCTCCAGGTTCAGCACAATGTCATCCTTTAAGTAGTGAGTCGGAAATCGAAGTCGGAGAAGATAAAGAGCCAATCAATGTAAGTTAATAGCTGGAATAAGAGGATATATCGTATATCAAGTATATTTTAGGAATACAGTTCGTTGACAGCCCCAAATGATGAATCTTCATCTGCAACCCCGCCAATGACTGAGCCTCGGAAGCTGCATTCAGTCGCAGATATTGAGTCGATTGAATCTCAAAAAGTTTTGTCAAACGCAAGTGGATCTGTCTTGTCTGTCTTATCGTTTAAATCTGAAAAAGACAGATTTTATCAGGCAAATGGACCATTCCTCGAAAAAATACAAAAATCCTTATCAAATTCACAAACACATTCGTTCGTTGTAGTTCAGTCTGCTGGCTTCGATTATATTGGGACCACGAACAGCGTTCGTTGTTCTCAGTGTCAGCTTGAGATAGCCTGCTTAACAAAGAAAGTATGTCCATTCGATGAGCATAAACAACGAAGCCCTAATTGTCCATTTGTGAAAGAAATTATTGTAAATTCGGCAGAAATAATGGCTAGTAAGTCTTGAACAGTGTACTGTATGAGGAAAGACGTTTTGTTTTTAAGATGAATAATTCAGATAGTTCAAATAAGTTTAGTCTCACCTTCTTTATCATTACAAACTAGACGACTTTATTGGTGCGTTTCTCTCTTCACTCAGAACATCAGCAGTCAAATGATACATGCGTGCGATATTGGTAGGATATATATACATAAAAAGGAAGAAAACAAAGCGTGTGTAGAACAGAAAAGATCGTTCTTTTACTATGGCATTGTGTAACTCATTTTGTATGATTAGACCTGCTGCAAGATGAAGGAGAAGGAGAAAGAGAAAGAGAAGAATATTCAAGCTTGTATACAAGCTTGAATATTCTTCTCTTTCTCTTTCTCCTTCTCCTTCATCTTGCAACAGGTCTACTATATAGCACTGTATGACTCATCCATACAGTGCCATAGCAAAAGAAAGATCTTTTCTGTTCTATACACGCTTTGTTTTCTATCCTTGCACATGTATCATTTGACTGCTGATGTTCTGAATGAAGAGAGAAACGCATCAATAAACTTGTCTACTTTTGTAATGATAAAGAAGGTGAGACTAATCTTATTCTTCCTAGAAAAGACGTTCGTGATGCTTTTTTTCATTTGGAGCAGTTCCCAAACAACAGGCGAACAAATTGTTACAACAGTTATTCTCTGAAACTGAGATTATTCGTCAAGTCCGTCAACGAACATTTTCACATTGGTTGCTCAAATCGCCGTCCAAACGTCAATTCATTGAAGCCGGCTTCTTCAATTGCAACAGAGAAAATCGAGTGATTTGTATTTATTGCAATGTCATCTGTCAACAGTGGGCCCCACAGGACGATCCAAGCAAAGTTCATAAGCAGCTCGCACGCAACTGTCCCTATGTGATATCACTATTAAACCATAGCGCCACATCGTACAGTTCTCCTGCTATGAGTGAATCGGGGATCACTGACATTTCAACAACAGAACACCGAGCAGCATATCGTTTAAAGTTACACATTCCGAATGCGAAAGCTCTGACAAAATTAGTTGCCGCTCGGTTAGATCTTCCAAGTTCTCGAAAAGTACTCGAGAAATTTCCGTTCGAAGTTGTTAAACGCTGTTATGAAGATCAGTTTCGTTTGAAACGTATGTTTAGGACGACTAAGTCAGATGATTACTATAATTTATTTTCACCCCTTTAGATGATGATTTTGTAACTGACTGCGATCTGCTATTGGCGTGTACTATTCTGGCGAAACAAATTCAGCACATCGGTGGTAAAATAGAAAATATTGTTATTCCAAGTATCCAATAAGATCTTTTATCTACTTTTTTATTTCAGAATCGACGAATGAAGAGAGTTACTTCGTTCAGTGATGATCGTCAATAGTCAGATAACTTTTTTCATAGTAGAGATAGCTGTATTATACAATCAAGATGTTCGCAAAGTCAAGCGATAATATTTTTTACTGTATGTGTATTAATATTAAGTAAATTTTCTTTTTTTTCTAAAATAAAATATTCTTAAATATATTTGTTACTACAACATTAAGATCTGTAGAAGCACTTGTTTTGTCTAACTTCAAGCAGATACATGTGGAGAAGTCATTGATACGAACATTGAAGTCAGTGAACATTTTTTCAATTAGATTATTTTGTTGATAAGTGTCCCATGCAATAATGTCATCAATCCCCAATCACTAGTACGAACCCTGTTACTTTATTAATTGCAAGATACTTTTTATAGTTACACAAGACACTTGTTGAATATATATGTATATATGTAGTAGAGAAGTGATAAACTGGAAGAATACATATGGAATACATGTAATTTATCTATGTTACGATCACCAAATTCAGCTATCAGCTTGCTTTCAGATTATTTGCGGATTACATACAGTGTAATGTCTTTTTAAGGCATCTGTAGATGACATAAAGGAAATTTTATATGTTGCATATGCTTTTTCGTTCTATCGTTTTAACGAAAAAAAAGTGCCAGAGGAACACATGTGACGAAAACACAAGGGGGAAAAAGCATACTTCTGTACTTCTCGGTACTTCTCCGTACTTCTTGATACTTCTTCGTACTTTTTTGTACTTCTCCGTACTTCTGAAGTACGAAGTCCCGTATTTCGTACTTCAGAAGTACGGAGAAGTACAAAAAAGTATCAAGAAGTACGGAGAAGTATCAGAAGTACAGAAGTATGCTTTTTCCCCCTTGCGAAAACAATAGAACGCCAAAAGAGATATTTAATCGTTTTTTTACATATGCATGCCTTTGGACGCGGAAGAGGAAAAATAACGGCATTCAAGAGGTTAAGTTGATTGACTACTATATGCTGGAATTTTTAATCATTTCTGAGCATCGATCCAAAAAGTCTGTTCGATCGCATTTATTCATTTTTCTCTGCAATTTCAACGTGCTTAATAGAATCTTATACACGAAAACATGCGTAATCAAACGGGCTTTAAAATGATATATAGCACATCTTTTCAAACTAATGTTTCATAAAGTTATTGGTCAAACATTATCTATGACTATTTGCTTTCCTGCTTATATAAATATGTAACCCTCATTGGATATAATAAAATGGATACAGTTTTGTCAGCACACTCAGACTCGAAATGGTTTATACATAGAAAAATACGGACTTGAAAGGACTACACAATCAGCTATAACATATTGTTTTAAAAGTTTGCCTTCATAAATATATTGGACAAATACTTGACAGATATCTTGGTCTTTTTCCTATAGTGTCACATAAAAATGACTATAGTTTCTTCTACAGACAGAGATTAGGCATCGTTTGTGCATAGAAAGGTGCAGAATTGAAAGGGCTATCGAATGAGCTATACTGAATGAAGTATAGCCTATTCTTTCAAATCATAAGTTTGTTAGACTTATGGGCAAGATAGTGAACGGATACAGTGATTTTAACCTGTTGTAGAAGAGTTAGTGAAGTGTAGTGCTGTAAAAAAGATCAGACTCAGAATGGTTATGATATTAAAAAAATGCAGAATTTAACGAGCTTCAAGTTGAAATATATTAGATTTTTTAGAAAGTATACTGTCAATAAATTATATGCTGAATAGTATATGATTGTCCCGACTTTTATTTACGGTGGTTCTCAGACTATTGAACTATGTGTATTTTCAGTTTTTCTCCTCGAAGATAATAGCTACAACAAAACCCCGTTTCTAGAAAACCAAAACTCTAGAAAACTAAATCTCCGAATTCGAGTGGTACTTTGCTTGTAACAGCTTCATCGTGTACAGGAAACATTTCTGAACAAATCAAGACGTCTCTGAGCTCTGTACCGCACTGTTTCATCAAACAACATTCAATTTGAAAAAGACCCCATGTCACCAAAATTAAATAAGTTTTTTTTTATTTAAGCGAAGCAAGAAAATGTGGGTAAATCGGGGCCAGCCCCATTGTATGCCCATAAGAAGAAAAAAGCAGATTAATAGAAAAATCCATTGAGAGAGAGAATAGTCTACATTAAGAAAGTTGTATGTGTGTATAATAGGTGACAAAAGGAAGAGATATAACTTAGAAATAGATACGTTGATCCATGTGTGCCAGTGGGATAAGAGAAGATAGCAATAATAGGGCCTTAAGGCATAAACCGCCCAGTACGTTTGATGAAGTGTAATATTACTGAAAAGACTGCAATTAATTGCTCAGTTGGTAGCTGTCTAATTGTTACATCTCTTAAAAGCAGCTGATCAAGGTGAATTTTATCACAATTCAACAGCACTTTGAGTTTTTCGAAAAGCTCGTTCCTCTGCTGGTCGTAATGTAAGCAGAGTAAAAAATAATGAGTAGTGTTTTCCTTTTCTCCACAAGATATAGTATAAATAAGTTCTCTCGCGTTGTGAAATTCTGATACTAGGTTTTCGTGTCCCGAAACCACACCTTCGACTGACTGTAAAGTTTTGTTTTCTATCTGTGTTTAACCTCGTGTTTACAATAACAAATGATCGAAAATCGGAAGATGAATCGTTTGTCTTATTGAAATTTGTAATAGCATTATATAATATGGCTGTGTAGAATTATTATGCGAGTTATCATCTGATTTTTCATCACTTTCAGTAGACAATACATGACTAGACAAAACGGCGGAAACATATAAGGTTTATAGTATGGTCAACTTAACTACAATGTGTCTTAAGACAACCGACTCAGCTTCTGATTTTCGATCGTTTGTTATTGTAAACAGGAGGTTAAACACATTCGTTGATAGAAAACAAAACTCTACTGTTAGTTGAATGAAAAGTTTCGGGACACGAAACCTAGTAGCAGAATTTCACAATGCGAGAGAGCTTATTAGCAACGCCCAAGAGCAAGGAACTCGAACTGTTTATCAGACTTATTGGAAAAACTGGGCTTCCTGGTGGCTTAAACAATCTTTCGATCTACTGTCGTCCACTTTGGACGTGTTAAATTTGTTGTCGGAACTTTATGATGAGGGTGCTTCCACACAGGTCCGCCCACTTTCTACAGAGCATCTTGCCGCGAAAACTTCAATTTGCCCATCGTGTAGAGCATCAAAAATAATCTAAAGGTCAGGCTAGAAACTACTTAGTGGGATCTATAACTTTGCCCATACAACTATCCTCGACACCCTCAGTTTTCCAGAAAACCCGTTAAAACCTTACTTCATGAAAAGAATATTGAGCTATTATGACTATATATTCCTGTTCAGCATGAAGAATTTAATGTACTTCAATGTTTTCTAAGACTTCTTTGTGTTTCCGTACCGCAGTTTTCTAAGAGATTTTCTGGAAAACCGAGGGTGAAAAATGAAAAGTGTCGAGGATAGTTGTATGGGCAAAGTTATAGATCCCACTAAGTAGTTTCTAGCCTGAAATAATCTCGAAAAATTTTCGGAGCGTTTAGGAGAAAATCGAAGTCAAACTTCAGGAATTTTTCAAGTAAATGGAGTATCACTCGAATGTAAAGTTAGATCGAGACCAAATTTCTTCAACATTAGAATCAAATCGTCAAGAGCTACAATTTGATATATAATTATGCAATGTTTCGTTCATTTTCACCGACTTCGGTTTCACCCTCACCAAAAACTTAAGGTGTCTAGAAAACCACTTTCCACACATCTTTTCAAAAAAGCGTAAGCGAGACCTTTAGATTATTTTTGATGCTCTACATGATGAGCAAAGTGAAATTTTCGCGGCTAATAGTGAATGTAATAGGGGGCGGACCTACGCGGAAGGACTCATAAGAATTAGAATATAGTACGATAAACTCGTACAGATCGCTTTCTCTACAACTTAAAGAAATCGATGGAATCAGAATCGGATGGCATTGTATGGTCAAGACACTGATCAAAAGAATTTTTAACTTAAGATTTCCGCAATAAGGTGAGATGTCAATAAACTTTTGGCTTATCTGGAAACATTGGGTGAAGCCAGAATATCACTACCGCTTATTCCTCATTATTGTCATTTAAGGGTACCCCTTTTCTTTTTCGATCCTCTTGAAAACCGGGGAAGCCGATGTTTGATCGGGCTGACATTTGTACCTGAGATAGAATATCGAAAAAGAAAATCGATGTGTTTTTGCTCAGAATTTTCACGCAAAAATGTCAGTTTTTTTGTCTGATTTTCAGCATTTTTCGAATATTTCGAGAAGGAAACCTTGTTTTTTGGAAAGAACAAAAACGGACTTAAAATAGGGTATAAAGTATCTGTGGCAAAATTTTCACCTCGATTGGACCATTTTTCCAAGGAGTAGTAATGTGACCTGATGAAAATTGGAGTTTTCCAGAAAAGCCATAGAAGAACATGTCAGAAAATTAAAAAAAAGCCAACTGAAAAGAAGCCAACTGTGTTCTAATAATTTGCTTTTATTTATTTTCTCTCTTTCTAGTTTATTCTTAAAAGAATAAAAGAATAATAATTTCTTGTTTGTCTATAGATGTTTAAACAAACGTAAAAATGACAAAAACTGATCTGTTTGCAATCAAACTGATTTCTGGACAAAAATATATCGATTTTCTTTTTCGATGTTCTATCTCTGGTATAAATGTCATTCCGATCAAACATCGACTTCCCCGGTTTTCAAAAGGGTCAAAAAAGAGGGGTTGGGGGTACCTTTAATTATTCGCCAGTTGTATTACTGTATTTTTATAAGTAATTTGGTAATGATAAGTTTATTTCCTTCCCTCAGAACCTTTGAGATAGACACCAGTGACACACTCGTTTCTTACTGAACTGCATAGTTAAACTCGTTTCGAACGTCAGGAGTTTTCTAATTTGTTTTTTGAATAAGTTTTATTCTTTCACGCAATTATATGTTATTATTAATATGTTAAGCTATGTTAAAAACGCATTCTCTTTACATGTTTTAAACCTTTTGTACAAAACTCTTATTCTTAGTATAATTTGTTATGGAGATGAAATTTTTTCATCCCATATTAATTTGCAAAAATTAGTTTCACTATAGTATAAAGCGGGTTGCATTGTATATGGTACAATTAGAGGAACCAAAGACCAGGAATTTAGGCTAGGGTGGGCTCAGGCCCGTGAATTTTGACCAGGGTGGGCTTGGCCTCACTGAATTTTGAAAGAAAAAATTTTTTCTGGGTGGGCTCAAAATATTTTAACTGAGCGCACCCCAGCCCACATGTGGCGCCGCCACTACCAAAAATGACAAAATTTTTAATCATTTAGGATGGAGAAAGTTAACAAATTTGTTTTTCATCGCATGATTTGATTTTATAAAATAGTGAGAGGATTTACAGACACACAAATAAATAAATATTTTTAATACATAAGAACACTAACACTGGTTCTAATAAACAATTAATCTTAGAGTCCCCAATTATAAATACAGATACGTCTAAAAAAACATTTTTACCGGTTTCTGTTCGAGAGTGGAACGATAAAACAATGGATACTCTCCAAGATATTCCTGTTTTTAAAGTTTTTAAAAAAAGTCTTCTAAATATGTTTCCTAATACTTTCTTTAAACGTCCATTAGTAGAGAGAAAATACGAAAAACTATTTGTACAATTTATTGTTGATTTTGCAGCACTGAACAGTAAACTATTTATGCGTAATCTTATTATTACAGATTTGTGTGCATGTGGTAAATGTGAAACACCGCAACGTTACTTTTTAGAGTGTACCACTTATCATGTTGCCAGAAATATTTTCTTTACCAAGTTAAATGCTGGACCAAATTCTTATGTGAAAGACCTTCTGACACTGAGCACTACTATTAGTTAACTGATCACTACTTTGCCATTATTGATTTTTTGAGAGAAAGTAGAAGATTTGTATGTTTTTCTTTTTTTTATTCTTGTTTATTTTTGAGATTTTCTCTTTTTTCATTCAAACGCCGCTTCTTTTTTTACTTCAGTTTTTCTTCCTTTCCATTTTTTTGTACAGTAAAGACTATAATGAGAAATCGTTTGTTTTCACTTTAAAATAAATAAGATTACACCAAAGATGAACTCTTTATTTGTCCCCTGTGAGAAACTGATTTTCCGATTTTTGAAAAATTCAAGACGAGACTCAGAGTTTTGAGAAAAATCGTACTGAGATTCTTCGAGGTTTTTCCGGAAACTCGTGCGAGTTTTCATGCAGAAAAGTAGAAGAATTTATCAAGAACTGACAACTACTAACCCATCAGGGACAAGATGAAGAACTCCCTTTTCTTTGTTTTTGAGTTCTCTAAAAGCTTCAACTGAATTTATTTTTGTAAAGAACACATGGAATTCACAAAGAAAGCTAAAGCTTGTTTAAACATAACACCAGTTAAGAAAAACACTCACACACATGCAGCTAAGTTTAGACAGTGAAAAGATGTTGTTTTAACACAGTCTGAAATGCTCTTAGTGTATTATGATGAACAATAGTACAAAACAAGTTGTTTCAGTCCTCTTTATAGTTTTTGGTATAAAAGAATCGATTTGAATCACAACTGGTTGAAGAACAAGTTTTTTATCGTGCAGCACAGCGATAGTAGCGCCTTATTTCTAATCTTCTAGACAACAAGAGTATTGTTTTCATATTGTATTAGAAAATAGATGAAATTTCGCAAGACTAAGTTGAAGCGCACAGACATAATATTGAATGTTGCACGAAATAAATTATAAAAAAAAGATGACTCAGTTTATGTTGACTATGAGTAAATAATTGTAGAAATATGTCAAGAAAGAAAATTTTTTTCTCAGACACTTACAAAAAAACAAGAAGAATTATATTCCTTTAAAAAAAAATTAACTAAAGATTATTTTTGTGCAAATGTTTTCAATAGTTTATTGTTATTGATATTTTTATATTTTTTATATTTAAAAATGCTTCGTATAGTGAAACAATGTCAAATAACATCGTGTAAACGAAAAGTTGAAACACATTGTTATCATTGTAATCAAGATGTATGTGGAAAACATTTTAATCAACATAAACAGGAGATAAAAGATCAAATATATCCTCTAGTTGATGAAATAAATGAATTAAAAGATAAATTGAATCATTTTGAATTTTTTGATAGTATGAAACAAATTTATGATAAATTAGAAGTTTGGAAATATGAAAGTCATCAGTTTATTGATCAATTATATACGCAAAAATATCATGAAATAGAAATGCTAGTAAAAGAATTTAAAAATGAAAAACTAAATAAAATTGATAATTTAGGTCAAAAAATTAAAAAAGCTATTGATGAAGATGATGAAACATTAGATGAAATTCAACTATTTCAAACTGCATTAGATACAATGAAAAATTCATTACAGAAACAATTTTTAACTATTGATATAAAATCGTTGAATGATCCAGTCTTAATTCAATTAACTGAGACTATTAACAAATCATCATTGTTAAATTTAAATAAACCAGTTAGAACGTGTATTCTTAAATGTTATGGTCATTGTCGATTAGCATCGAATGAACATTATCTATTAACAGATCGTGATGGTACAAATTTATCTTTATACGATAATGAATTAATTTTGAAACATATCGATCTGCCTAATAGTACTGATTACGTTCGAGATGTTTGTTGGTGTCAATTATTGAATGTTTTTATTATATTAACACAAAAAAATGTCTACAGTTTAGATGTAAAGACATTTACCATTGAAACAATTGATAAAATAATAATAGATGAAAATGATAAACGTTTTTTTCGTTGTACATGTTCAAATGAAACATTGTATATTCTTTTTTGGGCAGATTATCAAATACAACACTATAGTATAGAATCTAGTGGAACAATTCAACGATTAGATAATTTTATAGATGGACAATATAATAAAAATGAGTTTATCTATGATATCTGTACAAATACTAATAATAAATTAGGTTTAACAATTTTTAATCGATTAACAGATGAATGGCGTCTTGATTTATGTGATGGTTTAACAATGACTTTGATATGGTCATTTGATACAATTGGAATATATTCTCATTTATCAATATTACCCGATAATGAATGGTTATTAGTCAGTTGTGATACAAATTTATTATATCAAATAACATCAGAAGGAAAACTAAAAGCTAAGATGATGTATGAACATCCATTGAAAAGTGCCATAATGTTTAGTTCAACATATCTAATTATTCGTACATTTGAACAATTAGAATTACATAAAATTAAATGAAAAACCTGTTTTCCTTATCAATTTCATGAATTTCTATTAACAATGATTATTATGAAAAAGAAAATTCAAACAACTGTTGTTGACACAAGTTTTCATGGTTAATTGCCGTTGTCAAATATTTTAGAATGTAGGAATTTGACAATGTTTAAAAGTTTATTTTTAATTTTATTTAAATGAATTGTTGTAAATTTATCGTTATTTTGAAATAGTTGGTAATATCAGCTCTTCTGCTGCTAATATTCGTTCTTTTCCTACTTCTCGGGCTGTTATTCCTCTAGATAAATTTAAAGCAAATAATGCTTGATTCACGGTCAAATTACATAGTCGAAATATTAAATAACAAATTGTACCCGTTCGATGTAGACCAGCTGAACAATGTATAACTAATTTTATGTAATTCTCATTTAATAATAGATTACGAATTGCCAATAATTTTGGTTTTAAATCATCATTAGTTAAAAATGATGAAACATGAGCTTTATTTAAATTTAACCATATTGATTGAATACCAGTCAATTCAATTGATTCAATCAACTGTGAACTTTTTTCATTTTCACCAAGAATTGTTAAAATATGTGTAACACCTAAGCAGAGAAAAAGATACACTATGATTCCTAGTAGATTGAGTTCTAGAAAAAAGATTATTTAACTTGTGATTTCCAATCTGTTAGTTGTTTCTTGTTTGGTCGATGCCATACACATACTGCATTTGTTGTATTTAATAGTTGCACAAAACACGGATATTTTGATGATGGTAAATCTTTAATAATATTTGGATGTTTACTGTTGATCACTGATTGATAAGATTGTGGCAGTAATACATTTTTTATACGAACGAATAACTGATCATATGTTTCATTAACATCATGTTGAATTAATTGAATATTAAATAAATGATTATTGAATACTGTTAAATCGGTGTCTTTCACTTGATCATTTTGAATACCATTCAATAAAACAATCATGGCATATTCTAGACGCGATAAATCAATACCTAAAATATAGATAAATGAGAAAAAGAAAATTACATAGTACTTTGAACTTAATTGCGGAAGTATAATTGTTTTGTTTTTGACTATTATACTACTTTACGCAAACATTCACTTTATAGTCGATGTTTTATTAAGTCACTGAATCTCTCCTACCTGAATAAATCAACATTCAGAAGCAGTGGTGTAACTACAGATGGGGGGGGGGGGGGGGGCCCGCCGGCATGGGGCCATGGCCCATGGTGGTTTGGGCGTTGGGCCAATTGGTTTTTAAAGTTTGTGGTTTTCCCCGGGGAAATTTTGAAAAAAGGTTTTTTT